TATCATATCTGAATGTACTATACACTATATCCATGTGTACAGTTGATGCGTATGTTATTGGGAAACAGTTATTTGCAACAAATAAAACTGTTTTCCTCATAACATTCTATTATTTAAGATATTATAAGGCTTTGATGCTGAAACTATGCTGATATCCAGAATCAAAGCCTTACATTCCAACTACTGATCTTTTTCCCCCCAACTTTTGTATTTCAATTACCAATAATTATCAGTGCATCTGGTTCGCACACTTGATCAATATCAGACTGCAGAGATTGATGTCTTCAATTTTCTTCACAATTTTGCATTCATAGAGGTGCATAATTTTGCATTTCAGTCATATTGAATGATCCTTATTCTCGGTGTATGGCTAACATCCTATCACCAACATTGTCCAATTTGAGGATAGAGCTCAAAATGCTATTTGAAGATGAATTTGCCATCATTCCTCCTCAATTTGTTATTCCTACCATAGCAGGCTAGTGATTCTCCAATCCAAAATAACCAGCCTAGGACATGGATCTTTCGGTGTTCCATTTTATTTGTGACAACTTCCAATGTTTCTCTGTCCCTATTTTATACATTCTATGTTCTTATTACTAACAGATGTTTACAGCTGCTTATTCTCATTTTTATAAAGTCAAATAAGAAGGTAGGAAGTACTGAAAACTGAACACTTTACTGCATATCATTAAGATCGACTCTGCTCTAGGACCTTACTAGTTCCACTGCAATCCCTAATTTTTTCACTGCTTATTATGTTTTGGTAATTTAAGAGAGACTTTATTTCCAGAAAAGTCACCCAAAAAGTACAACTTACTTTTTATGCAAGATTATTCAGTCTCCATGGAGATTACCAAAAATTGCCAGTGCTGACTATATTTCAAGTCGTCACAGAGGAGTATTGGGAAAAGTTTTCAATTAGCAATGATCACACCTCTGGTTAACCTCATTGGCTATGGTATTGCCACTGCACAAAGCTTCACTGGTTATTTTTATAGAAGCAGATTGCGATGCCTTTTCCCTCATATGTATTAATCTGGAAGTTTTGCTGCAAACCACGCCCCATGGATGAACCTGCTGGCATTGAAATACCAGTGGCAAAGCTTCTAGCATCCCAGTGACAGGTGAACCACCACAGTTCAATAGTCCACTTGACAAATGGTGGCCATATATATTTACTCAACTGACTTTTACACGGGTGTTCAGTCTATTCAACGCGGACTGATGAGCTACTTCAGTAAATGGTACTGGGTAAATTGAATGTAGAGATGCTAGGAATGATTCAGTATCTATGGCTTACACACAGTAGTAAAAGTAATTCCAAATGAATCAAGAACCAAGATGTGAAAGCTAAAACCATAAAATTCTTAGCATAATATACACAGAATGGCCTAATTTTTAAGAACAGGACAGAAAAATATATGAATAACCAAATCTGAAAGAGAAAAATGGAATTACATCAAAATGAAATACATATGTTCATTAAAGAATGGTATCCAAAAAAAAAAGAAGAAAGAAAGAAAAGGAAAGATTATTTATCTATTGGGATGTTATTTTGAATGTGTCTAATAAATAACCAACATCTATAAAACATACTTAACAATTAAAAAATAATTAAACAAGCAATCCAATTAACCAATGACTTGGACTGATGTTTCATTATAAATATATTCAAATGAACAAACATCATCTGAAATGACATTCCATGTCATTGGCTAATAGGGATACTCAAATTTAAACAATGCATTAGAAATGAAATGTTTTTTTTTAAAAACCAGCAGGCGATGGTGAAGTTGGGAGGAGCAGGAATCATCATCCAATGTTGGTTGGAATGTAAGAAGGTAAAACTACCATAGAAAACAGGTTGGGTGCAAGAACACTTTGTTCTAATAACCTGGCATTCAGTGATGTTCACCTTCCCAACACGATCACTG